TGTTTCTGTCTTTATAACAACACCTGATACGTTTGCTGGCAGATGCAGTCACCTAGACTTGAACTAGAAACACGGAAGGCATTAAGAAACCCTGCAGACCTGCATATAGGAGCAACATCAGATGTTAAAATTGGTCTTAAAGTATTTATGTTAACATCTTTAAAACTGTTATTTCATCAACAGCCAAATAAACTTAACCAGCCACACAAAACAGGGACACTGCACCTTTCCAACAAAGTTTCCAGTTTACCCTGCAGTAGTTTCATGTACAGCCAAGTGGAATCTCTCTTTTTGTAATTGTAACTTTCCCCTTTTTATGGATGGTTGAGATTTTTATTTTCTTTTCCTTCTCTGCATTGCTCCCCATTCCCCGCCCCGGAGAAGCTGTGGAAGCAACAAAATATAAGAAAGAGATGCTAACTTCCCTTGACCACCTTTCTCTTTAAAATTATAGCCTAGGAATCACTTCCTAATCTATCTGGGGGAGGAACTTGAGATGCATTTGATGCAGGTATGGTGCAGGACAGGGAGTATCAACTTGTGAGATTGGAAGCTGTAAGCTCTAAGTGGCTGCAGGTCCAGATACAAGCAAAGCCCCATCTCAGCTTCCAAAAAGCATCCGTCACTGTGGCATGAGGCCAAAGAGCTGAGACAAAAGGCTGTTCTGGACATCTTCCCTGGCATCCAAGCACAAAGACAGTGCTATGAAGATTGTGTGTTATTGGTAGGGTCACCGTGCTGTCAGCATCTCAAAATGTTCCTCTGGTGATGAGCACAAGCACCTTCTCCAGCAGGTCTCAGAGCCTTTCCTGTTCTTTTCAGGCTTTGTTGCTGTGCAGTGTCTGATGTCTCATAGGCAACCCTGGCAGTCTGGAACATAAAGCAGGACAACTACCCTCCACAGCACTCGGCAGCTACCAGAAGCTGCATAAGGAAGAGCTGTCTGTCAAACTGAGATCCCCACCCACCAGTCCGCTCAGCCAGACCGGCAGGAAAAGCAGTACAAAGCTCAGCCGGATCAAACCGTCAGCACAGAGGAGGTTATTTCCTAGGACCACTAACGCCATCTCTGTGCTAAATCCAAGCCAGCAGGGAACAGTTGATTTTCGTTCTGCTTTGGTTTAAATTATTCTTTAAATTGGTGAAGGCTACCCCCTACCAGAGAGCTACAGAAGACAACCCAAGGACAGAAAGAAGTGGTGGAAAGGCAGGCATCATCAGATTCATCCCATGTTTTGGTGTCCCTGGGGAGCTGCTCTCCAAGCTGAATCATGTTTTTGGTGCAAAGTGCCTCGGGTTTTTAGAAGAGAGTAGTTTTCTTTAGTACTTTCAGACTGCATGTCTAGAAAATGTCATGAGGAAGGACAGCATGGAGGGAATAGAGCAGCAGCACAGGGTCAGGTTTGAAGAAAGCAAAATGGAGAATTGTATGTATGACAGGCCCCTCCCAAGCTTCAAGAATAACTCAAATGATGAGTCTGACCATTTCCCTTTGAAGCATTGATGTCAACCTGCCTGTGGCAATGATCTACTTACCAGATTGACAGTATGTTGCTACTGGCAGTTATTCTGATGCAGCTAAAGTCAGTAAATAACATTTCTAAATTAAGTAGCCTGAGAGTTTTCCTATTGCTTCTCCTATATTTAATTCTTCCTTTTCCAGTAAGTCATGGTGTCTCACCCACTGGCTTTCCTTTCCCTCACCAGTAGAAAATACAAAGTGCAGAATGACAGAATGACCCGTGTCACCTTTTTGTCTGTCTTGACCTTTTACTTTCTAAATTTCTCATTTTTATTACCCCTAAACTAAGATGGCATTTTCCCGTTGGCTATAGCCGTGGGCTCTCTGGCTGGGTAATAAACTTTGTGCAACCAGCCACCAGTATTTTCTGTATAATCACTGGTATTTTTCTGTCACTGGGTTTCTTCTGGACTAAATCCCCATGCCACTCCCCTCCTCTGGAGGAAGGTCCTTTTGGAGCACCAAGCATGCCTGTTGGTGGTTCAGATTACTCTCTAGATACACAAATAAAGCAACCAGGTCAAGAAGACAACCTCTAATTCCCAGGCCAAGAACATACACCTCACTAGCCATTGCAAGGCACTCCAAAACCAAGCCAGCTTGTGGCAGTGCTGATCCTTGCCTTGCTTACAAATTGTCATCAATAATTTCCACAAGTGCTAACGGGACATCCTTTATCCCGTAGGTCTCCCAGATGCAGGTCTCTCCCAGGATCCAGATTCAAGTCTCCGAGAGTATCCCCCCCCCATTCCACAGGCACACCGCAATGCTTCCAGCTGCTGTATAGCAGCAACTGCTGTCCCTAAGCCATAGCCAGATGTTTCCCCAACACTGCTATTTTTTTGTTTAACCTCCCTGTCCCCTCTGAATAGGCCATAACCGGGGATTTAGCGCTGCAATTATGCAAATTGTTCTACCGGGTTTTTTGTAATGCTAATTATATCAAATGCATGCTCATCAATGAGAACGTCTAATTCCCCTTGCTCATTATCTAGATGTCACATGCTGATGTAGAAGCATCTGAAAAAACTCATCTCACAACACTGAGGTTGTGAACCCCTTGCTACCACCTTCACAGTCCCTGCCTCTGCCCCGGAGCCCCCAGGTCAAACTGAGCATCAGCACACTCATCAAATTGTCCCCGAAAGCTAGCGCTCCTGTGCCTGTTCTTATACAGGCTTTCGGCTGGGGACTTTGGTGTTTGGTTTGCAGGATTGCTTAGATCTTGTGTTTGTGGCTGAAATCAGTAGGAGAACACAAAGAATGCATACGTGCTATAGAGCACTCCGAAAAGTGACACCCAAAGTAATTTGGAACATACTTTTCAGCTACTAAGTTTCCTTGCCCATAAAATCCTAATAATACCATATCAGCTTATGGGCCTCTGGAGAAAGAAGTTAATTCAAATTTACGAAGCCATTGGATGCAGCGATGATAAATACTACAGGGAAGCAGAACAGTCTCCCTGTTTGCAGAATGGAGTTCAGGTATGTGCAGTAAATACCCAATGGGTTTGTATACAGCATGAGGGGAAAAGAAAGAAAAATAAGGAAAAATATCAACTAGCTGCTTTTTTTTTTTCTCTTTCTGAGCACCATGTTCTTCCTACACACAGAACAAAGAAGGGACTTGGTGGGGAAAACAATCTGTTATTGTGTAACCAAGGACAACCGTGACACCTAGGCACAAGGAGTCCACAAGGAGAAAACTAACTCCGGCATTTCTGAACCCGAAGTGCAGAGTTGTGAGACCTTTTTCAGCTGTGTTTTCACCTATTGCAGCACTCCCCGAATGTGGGAGTTCAGCACTGGCCAGGCTCTGACCAGGTCAAGCCCTCACGGAAGGCTCAGAGCTCCGATGGGCAAGACTGCTTTCCAATGCTTTCTTTTGTAGTTGTTGCTTCTCTATTCTTCATTTCGTACTGGGTGATGCTACCTTGACCACAGAATTACCTCCCCTTTTTCCCCTGCTCCTGGGGAAGAAGCACTCTCAGCTTTAATTCCTTCTGCTTTGCAGCTTCTTTTCTTTATTACCACTTATTTTTTAATCGCTTTTTCCTCGCCGGGTACCTGCCCCCAGGACTCGACGGCCTCGTTCTTTCGGGTGCTCCGGTGGGTGACCTCCCCCCAGCCTCGCTGCTTTGCCTCGGGACACCTCGGAGGCGCCGGTGCTGCAAGAGGAAGGGTCCCTCCGGAGTCCCGCCCCGAGGAGCCGGGGATGGTCACCCCTCTGCCGTGTGCCGGGACCCCCCCGGCTAGGGGTTCCGCGGGTTCGGCTCCGAAGAGCGGCAGCCGTCGCCGCCGCCGGGGGCCGCTGTTGGCCGCGGAGAACGCGAGTGGGGCGGGAGTAGTAACAGCAGCGAGCGCTCCTCCCGGCTCGGAGACGTCCTCCCGCCGGCAGCGACACCGGGGGAGCCTGGGGGGTTGTGTGTGTGTGTGTGAGGAAGATGAAGGCTGCAGCCGGCTCCTTCCGCCGAGCTCCTGGGGGGGGGGGGACACCCTTCCCGCTTTGGTACCCACCGCCGTGGGGCTGTGCTGGTGTGCGCGGCTGCCCAGGGACGGGTGGCTTTGGCCACGTGCATGTGGTGTCGGGTTTGGACATTCTTTTGTTGTTTCAAATTAAAAAATAAACCCAGCCAACCCAAATCAGAAAGCAAATGGTTATGTTGGTCGCAATGAAATTTTGGTGAAAGCTTCCCTGTCATTGCAGCCGGCCCTGGGTACATCTGGCTGGGTGAGTTTTACCCACACAGGCTCCTAAGAGGGCAAAGAAGAAGAGGCTGAGACCCTGCAGGTATCCCTCTGAAGCTGGGACAGGCTGTTCCAGGTGTCACACTGTGCTGAGGGTTTGGTCCTGTTATCTGAGTCCATTCCTGATGCAGTGACAGGTTGCTTTGTAGCCCGATGATGTCTGTACTGTTTTTATCTTCTTTTTCCTTTCTATTTTTTTTTTTTCCCACTCAGAGTCAGAAAATGCCTTTCATCATCACTTTGTGGGGAAAAGTTTGATCCTTTCCTTCCAGCCCTTGCCCTCCTAAAGAAAAATACTTCTTGTTCCCTTGTATTTCAGGCACTGAAGTGTAGACTGCCTGCGCTTCAAGGTGTGGTATTTGCAGGGCAGGGAGGAAGACTAGATCACCTCTCCCTGCTCACTCTTACTATTTGAGTAAAATAGGTTAAAGCAATAATAGCGATGTCTCCCTTTAGCACATCCAGACTCCCAAATATCCTTGAACAAAATTAGCAGCAGAGCCAGTTCTTCAGTGATATTATGCTATTTCTTCCTGTTTTGTTTGGGAGCCCTTAGAGACAACTACCTGACTGTACAAGGTGCCACACAAGCCAAACAAAAAATGATACAAATCCAGATTGATCTGTGAGTGTAAGAGCAGAGACAGTGGATGACAGGGAAATGTGGGAAACCACAAAGAAACCCTGAGACGATTTTGGTCAGCAGGATGCACAGCAGTACCAGCGCAGTGACAGTCTGGCCTCTGCCGAGATTCTGTTAGCATTGCAGAATACAAGAGTTTGAAAGAAAGGCTTCAAAAGGAGCTCATGAAACGTAAAGCTTAGACTTAAGGCTGTCAGCCACGGGATCCGCAGGATCAAGGACTCCAGCTGCAGCTGGAAGTCAGGCTGGATACGCAAAGCGTAATCTAAGCAAGAACAGCTTTAAGAGGGAATGATAAAGAAGGAGCTGAAAAAATGCTTGGGATGGCAAGTCAGCATCTAAACCACCAGGTCAGAATCACACATTTCTTTAGGTTGGAAGGACCTCTGGAGGACATCTGTTTCAACTCCCAGCGACTTCGGGGTGGGAGGGAAGGAGGGGGAGCAGAGGCAGGGGGATATCCTCCCAAGCTCAAAGCAGGCACTGCTTAAGTTGCTTGGGGCGTCTGTAATACAAAATACATGTTTTGTTGGAGGGATACATGAAGCGGTGGGAGGCGTACAGCCAGTGCATGGTGAAAGGCATACAAGCAGTAGTAAAAAGGATTTGAAGATTATGTCTGGCTTGTTCTAGGACTTCTGAAACATCTTTTCAAACTGACTTTCAGAACCCAGAATGGCAGTGGGTTTCTAGAAAGTATAAAATACACTTCAGATCATGGTTAGTGGTCACAATGTTTCTCTATAATCCAAATAAGGAACCATTTCCAGAAGTGATTGTTAGTCTCTTTTGGAAATCAAAAGACTCTACATGCAAATGCATTTATGCATTTTTGCAGATACCCTGTCTGATCCATATAGAATAAGCATTCGGTGCTCCTTTGCCATCTCTCTGACCTTTCACTTGTTTAGTCATACTTGATAAGAAGACATTTGTTTAATGTTCACATCTGTGAATGACATGAAGTGCAGGGAAGCAGCAAATGACATCTTTTACCCCTGACATTCTTAGCAAGAACACTAATTCAGGAATTACCGCAGTAGGATGTAGAGGGTCAACTACACAGGTTGAAAAAGATTTGCTGAGCTAATATTCCCCTTTAGCTTTCCTTTACTGAATATGATTGCTTTGTGTAGTTTGTTCCTGTTCCATGCTTTCAAGTGGTTCTATTCTGTAGCAATTGGTATTGTTGGACTCCATCATAGTGTAGGGCTTTCAGGTTTGTTTGCTTGGATTTTTTGTTATACATAATCATTAAACAGAAGCTATAAAGCAGGCTAGGGTGACTCATTTCCCTAAGAGACAGTACATGCATGTTCTCTTCTTATCACCACGTGACAGAATAAAAAAATCAGGCTAACAAAGGCAAAAAATGCAGAAGCAGGAGACCTACCTAACACTGGTTCTCTCTGTCAGACAGGAAAAATACCCAGAACCCAAAGCAATTAAATTTGACTAGAATCCTCAAAAATGAAGCAAAACCAATTCAAGCTGAAACAGATTGAAAACCCAAAGAACAAAACGCAACATCCCACACCGGGCACACCATTGCCTATGTATAACAATTAAGGAAAGGTTTCAGAACCCTGAAGTCAGGAGCTTTTCTGCTCGGTGTAGCATGATCAGCATCCCCCTTTATTGTTAAACTGTTTCATAGGATTCATTAAGAGATCAGCTTTTCAGTTGTTCATAATTTTGTCAAAATATTTGAGCTAAATTTTCCTCGGCTGGAAGTGGAATATTTATAAAATGTTCCAGGTAAAAATAGTTCCGCTATTTTCAGGGATGAAACTGTAAGAAAAGATTATGTTTTCTGATGTTCTTTTTGAGAAGTTCGGTACTGTGTTTTGAGGAGGATGCTGAAACTCTGGCAGAGGAGCAGCCTCTTCCAAAGGAGTGGTGTCTGCCACCTGACATTTCATTCATACTTGGCAAGCTTACCAAGAGGAGATGGAGCCAGAGTATGCTCACAGTGGCCCTGAGAAAGCACAAGAGGCAACAGTCATGACTTGCAAGGGAGGTTCCTGCTGAGCATTAGGGAAAGCCTTTCCCCAGGGCATGTTTCAGCCCTGCTGTGAGTGTCCCAGAGGCTGTGGAACCTCCATCGTTGCAGATGCTCAGAAGAGACCTGGGCAAGGCTCTGAGCAACCTGAACTAGCTCGGAGTGCTGAATGCATCCTCCCTGCTCCAGGGGCTTTGGCAGGGTGAGCTGGGGCCAGATCAGAGAGTGCTGCTGAGGGCTGCCCCTGCCCTCTGGTGACTTTGGGGAGAGTTTCCAGAAAGCTCTGCTGGAGCTCCAGCCAGAGCTGACCCCCTGCCCCAGGAACTGCTTTTAAGCTGGTGCTCTTGCCCTTGCATCCTGCCCAAGCAGTCTTGCCTGTGCCTGACCATGCACTGTCGATCCAGACTGATGGATCAACTTCCTGACTTGACCTGAGACCTGCTTTGTCAGGATGGACTTGTCTAGCGATCACTGGACTGTGGGTCACCCTGGTTACTGCCTCCAGAGCTGATCCTGGTGCTGACTTAACTTCTTAGTTTGACTTTGGACCTGCCTCATCACCGCAGGCTTGTCTGGAGATCTGGATTCTCTGATGAACCCAGCTGTCGTCACTGTACTTGCCTTGCTCACGTTGCTTGCATGCTTACCCTTGCTGCGAAAGCCTCTCCCTCTGCCTGCCTTCTTACCATGCCTGGCTCTTAGGTGCTGTTCTTTTGGGGGGCATCCAGCCCTCACTGCCCCCAGCAACCTGCTGTGAGCAGGGAGTGCAGGTACAGACCTCCAGAGGTCCCTTCCAACCCAAATCTTCATATGAATTTATGACAGTGCTGTAGCCAAGATAAAAGGAAAGAAAAAAAAAGAGTTTCTCTGGGCAGAGAAGAAAACACAGCAGTGAAGGCATTGTATTGATGCTTCGGTACATGGTGGGTTAGATCTGGGGAAGGGAAAAAGGACCAGAGGAAGAGGGACAAGGAAAGGGGTCTAGGAAAGAGGAAGGCAGGAAAGAGGAAGGGGTGAAAATGGGCATCAGTGCTGCTACTGTAATACCACTTTGCTACCCTGTAAATCACAGAACAAAAGGGTAACATCAGACCCTAGCAGAAGATACGTACACAGCTCTCTTTCCTCTGTAGCTGTACTATGTCACAAATGATTCACATTCACATGGTAGTCTTGAGTTTTCAAAATAGAAATACCTCCTGCCCTGCAAGCCCTCCTCCACCTCCCTCACCGCATCTCTCAGACACCATTAAATGTCCTTCATCTGCAGATATATTTCAAGGCTGGTTGGCTGGCTGCAAGGCTCAGAAAGGGGATGGAGCTTGCCTACCCAGGGCATATGTCTCCCAGGGCAGCCTGTGGCACAACAATCTCTCTGCAGAGAGGTTTATCATCTTCTATAGGTCTTTTTGAAGACCTGCTTCTACAGTCGCCTGTGGAAGCGTCTTCAAGGGAGACTGGAAAGATGGTTTTAAAATGCTGTGTCCCTTATTTTGTAACACAAAACTGTGATGCATTGCAATACATAGCACAGCAGTTATGAGGTAGGGAACTGCTAATTTAGAAGTCTAAGAACCAGGACTTCACCCTGAACTGCATTTCATGTCATTTTCCTTTAACAGGGGTAGCCTCAGTCCTGCTGGAAGCCACAGAGAAGCTGTTTTACAATACAAGTGTAAAGGCGACTGCCCTGTTCACTAGCAGGAGTGAATAACAGGTTTCTGTCACTGCCTATGTACAGCTGGATCTCTCTTCTGGGAAGATTTATGGGGCTTTCACATGGAGCGAGGGCTGAAGAAGCATGTACAAGCAGTGCAAGCAAATACATTGCACTGCAGCCTCATTCTGTGACATCATTTCTCTTTAACAGTGAAAATCACTCAGACCTGAAATCAATTATCCTGTGGCTGAGCAGCAAGAAAGTGCAAAGCACTAATGTTAGTGTGAGCTTCACAGATGACAACAGTATTGGTATCCTCTCTTTTTTTTCCTGAGGTCATTGTGAAAGTTGGGTGTATTTTTAAGTATGCTAGTGTTTCCCAAGCCGTTTTGCTTTAGGAAAATGTATGGCCATTGTGCTGCATGTGTGCGTATGGCTGCACAAGCACATTTGACATCCCTCCTAAAGGTTGCTTTGCTAAGGTTTGTGACTCTCTATACAATTAGGAACCTGTTTTCTGCAAGAGTACGAAACACTCAACTGACCCCAACAAGGGTTGCTAAATGTTTCATCTCTTCTGGAAAATTAAGACACTTACTTAGGTGCCCCAAGCTGGATTTAAGACTCAAAATGAAGCATACTAGGTTTGTTTCAAGTCCCTGTTCCCTTGTTTCCTGTACCAAAAGAGTGAGGTGAGACCATGTCACCAAGACAGCTCTGTTTATTCAAAACAGCCATTCATCCTTCAGTTTTGTATCATCACCTTCACCCACATACAGTCTGCCATGCTCCCTCAAACAGTTTGCTAAGCTACCTGAGCTGTAATCAGTGAAAGGGTGACTCTGCAATGGTATGACCTTTCTGTGCTTATATTTCTGAGTCCTCAATAGGGCCATTCAAAAATACTGCAGTAGGAAGTGATGGCAAAGATTCATTGGGATGGATATCATTTTCAGTTGAGAACTGCTTTACTTTTGAGACAGCATGGTCTCGGGTTGGCTTATGCTCCACAACCTGATTCTTAAGCACCGCTGTTTCTGAGTCCCAGGCTTGTCCCCGCCGCAGTTTCTTAAAGGTGTTACGGAAACCCTCAGTACTGAAGTAGTAGATCAAGGGGTCCAGTGTGCAATTCATGCTGGCCAACAGCATTGTTATAATTAACACTTGGCGGACAGAGGCCTGTGTTTCTTTCTCAACCTTAATCACCCGGGCCTTCATCATCCCATAGACTGCCAGGGTAGTGTTATAAGGCACAAAGCAGATGATGAAGATGACCAGATTGACCAACAGGAGACGGACTGTCTTCTGCTGTCGCAGGGTCTTTGTCTGGCTGTTCCGGTAGAGCTCTTGAAAGATCCGAATTGAGCAGTATGTCACAGAGCTGAGAGGCAAGAGAAACCCCAAGATTTCAGCCAGGACAACTAGGGGGAAGAGGTTATTCTGCCACATGTTGTCACTAAAGCTTTCAAAGCACAGATAAATGGTCTTGTTCTGTACCTCACAGTGGTTTTGCTTGTGAACTATAGCTGTGGGGATGGAGCCTATGAAGATCACAACCCAGACAATCAGGCAAAGGAGCTTGGCTATCTTGGGGCGCCGCAGGTGCCGCCAACGAAGTGGGTGAACAATGGCAGCATAGCGATCCAGATTGATGCACATGAGGAATAGGCAGCTACCATACATGTTGATCTGGAAGACAGAGCCAGAGACCTGGCACAGGGTGTTACCAAAGGGCCAGTGGTGGTTAAAATAGTAGTAGAGTCGCAGTGGCAGAGGGAGTGTGAAGGTGAGGTCGCTCATGGCCAGGTTGAACATGTAGATCATGACTACGGACTTCAGGCGCAGGTAGCGGATGAATATCCATAGGGCCATCACATTCAGCATCAAACCTGTCATGAAGATCAGGATGTAGCCAGGCAGGAGCAGGTGGTGGTTGAAAGTGTAATCCTTGCATGTCTGAGATGCATTGGAAGCTGACATGCCAAGTGGGGATCAGAGGAGGGTGATGCTGAGGTGGCTGAGCCTGCTGGTGGGCTAAGGAGGCACAAAGAAAAGCTCTGAGAGAAGTCATTCCCCTCTAAGAAGCCACAGGCTGATCATTCCCCTTATCTGGAGCTGGGAGGTAGATGGACACATCTCTCTTTCATCCAATTTGCTTTGGATTGCTGCTCTGTGGTCATCTAGCAGGGGTGGTAATGTAGTCACCTAGAGTCAGCTTCTGCCTCTAGTTCAGCAATTCTTTCCAGTGCTTATGGGGATTCTGATGCGATGGAGGGTCATTGCCAGTTGTCAGCACAACTCCTGGTCAGAGTGGAAGACCAAGACAGAAGATTTTAAGTTAGAGGAGGAAATCTCTTGAAATGTTAAAATCATGGTAACTTCTGCAGCAAGAGCTCACAAAGAAACCAGAAGACTAAGAAAAACAGACAATAGAGAAGTAAGTAATTACATGGCAGAAGAAGCCAGAGCACAGAGAAGGTAACTGTTGTACAGAATCATTTATTGCTCAGCCTCAGGAAATGCACTTTGATCACTGCTGAGGGCACGTGTATACAAGAAAGGGACAGCACAAGAGTGCATGAGGAAAGTAGTGAACGCAGGTCCAGAAAGAGGAAGAGAGAGAGAAAGAAAAAGAAGAGAGCAGGCATTTTGAGGGGAAAACACTGACTGGAAGGAATTGAAAATAAAAACTCTTTTATATCAGAGAAACAGGACTTTGTACATCTGTACATCTGTGGCAGATAAAAAGACTTAACTTAGACTTAGGCTTGACTCCACCCTAGCTCCTTTTCCTAGGTTAAACAACCCACACAAAACTGAGGCCCAGCAACTAGCTGGCAGTTCCTTACGTTGCTTATAATCCTATAGTTCCTTGCTTGCATGGGACAAGTGGTGCTTATTTGGGTTGCATGTCCTCAGGGCATTTTCTGACTTACAACATGGTAAAGCATGTTGCTGTCCATGCCCCACAGACATAGCACAACCAGGTAAGGCAAGGGAGCACACAGTAAAGAAGGATGGGCCATGGGTTTCAGTGGTCTGGAGGCTGGAGCACTTGCCCCATGAGGAGATGCTGAGGGAACTGAGATGGAGAAGGGAAAGCTCCAGGCTATATAATGTATACCCTATATTGGGTTTGCCTGGCAAGGTTTTGGTGACACAGTTGGCTTCTGTGAGAAGCTGCTGGAAGCTTCCCCGGTGCCCAACAGAGCCAATGCCAGCTGGATCCAAGAAGGACCTGCTGCTGACCAAGGCTGAGCCCATCAGTGATGGTGGTATCTCCTCTGGGATAACATATTTAAGAAGGGGACAAGTTGCTGCATGACAGCAACTGCAGCCAGAGCAGAGGAGTGGGAATGTGTGAGAGCAACAACTCTGCAGATGCCCAGGTCAGTGAAGGAGGAGGGCAGGAGCTGCTCCAGGCACTGCAGCCTGTGTGCAGACCATGGTGGGGCAGGCTGTACCCTTGCAGCCCATTGAGGTCCATGCTGGAGCAGATATCCCCCTGCAGCCCATGGAGGTCCATGGCAGAGCAGAGGAATGCCCAAAGGAGTCTGTGACCTGTGGGAAGCCTGTGCTGAAGCAGCTCTTGGCAAGACCTGCGGTCCCGGGGGGGAGAGAAGCCCACATTGGAGCAGGTTTGGAGGCAGGAGCTGTGACCCCCCAGGGAACCCACGCTGGAGCAGCCTGTTCCTGAAGGATGCACCCCATGGAAGGGACCCACACTGCAACAGTCTGTTCCTGAAGGATGCACCCCATGGAAGGGACCCACACTGGAGCAGTTCGTGAAGAACTGCAGCCCGTGGGAAAGACTCATGTAGAAGAAGTTAATGTAGAACTGTCTCCTGTGCGAGGGACCCCATGCTGAAGCAGAGGAAGAGTGTGAGGAATCTTCCCCTGAGGAGGAAGGAGCAACAGAGACTATCTGTGATGAACTGACCGCAACCCTTATTCCATATCCCCCTGTGCTGCTGGGGGAGAAAAGGTAGAGAAAATCAGGAGTAAAGTTGAGCCCAGGAAGAAGGGAGTAGGGGGGAAGATGTTTTAAGATTTGGTTTTGGGGAAGATGTTTTAAGATTTGGTTTTACTTCTTATTATCCTATTCTGATTTGATTGCTAATAAATTAAACTCATATCCCCAAGTTGTGTCAGTTTTGCCTTTGACAGTAGTTGCTGAGCAATATTCCTGTACTTAATTTGTGAATCTTTTGCTGTATATTTCTCCCCTGTCCATTTGAGGAGGGAAGTGATAGAGCAGCCAAGGTTAACCCACCACACTCTCCATACCTGCAAGGTGGCTACTGAAAGAGAACATAGTTAGCTGCTCACAGTAAGGCATTGCAGGGGAACAAGAGGCAATGGACATAAACTGAAGTAACAGATTCAGACTGGATATAGGACAAACTGTTTTCATTGTGGGTACAATCAGGCATTGCAACAGATTTCATAGAGAGGGTGTGGAGTCTCCATCCTTGGAAGTTTTCAAGACCAGGCTCTGTAGAGTCCAAAGTAACCTCGTCTGATCTCATAGCTGCCCCTAGAGACTAGGGACTAGTCTTAATTAGGCTAGAGACTGTCTTAATTATTCTATGATCCTAAACCCAGACGTCTGCTCTCAAAGCTGTCACAGTGGAGTAGGAGTTGGTAAGTATGACACAGTTCCCCCACAGCTGTTTACAGGGGTTAGATAGGGTCTCCCTCACAGAGCCCACATAGATTGCGGTCTACTTCAAAAGGAAAGTAGAATTTCTTGTCTAGAGGAAATCTTTACATAAGGTTGATATTACTGGAAGAGGAAGCTAGTCAGCAACTTGTCAGCCACGACAAGCACGTCAGAACTTCTGGATGGCACTGGGGGGCAACGTACATATCTAGAGGGAGGATCTATTAAAGACGTAAGTGTGTGCTAACCTAGTAAGTAGGAAAAGATTCATCCTGGCAACAATATGTTCAATGATGAAAATGGAAGTCTAATATGAGAGAGCAGACAGCTATCAAATTGCCCATCCTTTTGTGTCGTTGGGCAGGTCCACCACCATGACAGGTTTCTTAGAGGAACTTCTATTGGTTTATCAAGCTATATCTGGATGGATTTCATCCTTCTTCGTGGATGAAGACTTTGTGTGAAGACTTGCTTAAGTTTAAAGTATAAAATAATCCAGCAACACAAGGCAAACGTGCAAGAATGTTGGTTTCAAGTGAAATGATTAAATGTCTTAACAAATCTCAAGGATTTTGACTGGGATAAAGTGAGGGAGACCGAGTCTCTGAGAGAGACTGTAACCTGCTCTAACTTGTGTGCCCAGACCATCCAGGTGTCAGGTGGAGGTGACTTGTCTCAACAGACAAGCTATTCAAGAGGAGGTATTCAATAAAGAACTTGAGAGGGAACTTTTCTTTCATAATTTTACATGAAAAGAAAAGTCAGTGTAAGATTTACCATCTACAACATGCAGTGCCAAGGAGTTCCAAAGCTTAATTGCATCTCAGGTGAAGAACCACTTCTGTGTACTATTATTTGAATCACCATCTGCTAGATTCAGTTCCTAGTTTTAGTGCTGGAACACAGTGGTAAAAATACCCCAATTTACCTTCACCTTATCACGGGTGGTTTTGTAAGTGTCTGCCATATTCCCTTCATTATCTTCTTTTTGTTTTGGGTTTTGGTTTGGTTTTTTGAAGTTAAAGGGTCCTTGTCTTCATAGTTGCTCCTCACAGAGGAGCCATTCTGTTCTTTTGAACATCCTTGTTGCCCTTCTCAGCACCTCTCCACTTTTACTACTGCCTTTGTGAGCCCTGTGGCAGAGTGCTCAAAGGATACACAATGTTGATGGGTTGAATTGAGTAGGCGTAGATCTCACTTGCAAAGGGCTATGGTCAATTCAGATCGTCTTTTCTCATCCCCGGCTAGATGATGGTATTTTAAGGCCACTCACTCATACTTCTCTTAACCTCTGCAGTTCTTCACAGCCAAGCCTCATCTTTTCTGACTTGAATAATCTTATTTCTCCAATATATTTGTTATTTTATTAGTATTCATCCCTCGTGAATAAGTCAAACAGTGCAAGCCTCAGCACTGGTGTCTTACCACTCCACTGTGAAAACCAAGCATCTGCCTTCATTCTCTGTCCTATCTTGTAAGCACTTTTTATCCAGGTAGGCACCTTTTATTTCAGTTTCTTTAAGCACCATTGGTGGAAAGCCCTTTTGGAAATTCACATGGGCCACTGTTCATGTGCTTGTTGGCTCCTTCAAAGACGGACTGTGAGACACAGCATCCCTTTATAAAAGCTATAATGACTCTTCCCCAGTAAGTAGATGTGACTGCATGGCAATTGATTTTTCTCCTTTATTATAGCTTATAATTTGTTCAGCACAGACATCAAGCTCCCCGGTCTGAAATCCCTCAAGAGCCTTTGCTCAAACTGTGTCTGCAAGTGAGCCTTTAAAAGCAGTTTTAGGCAAATGTTTTTACAGCACAGTTAGTGAGGTCATCCAACCTTCAGCTGCTTTCTGACCTCTGGGGTAGGAACTATGGGGTTTCAGACACCGTTTAGTTCATCGTGCTGCTCCACAGCCATCCCTACCACCATCTGATCAGAGAACACCCTCTGATTAAAGTAGTTAAGAGAGAGTTTTGGCTGTGGAAATCTCTCAGACTTTCCTGCCGTGAACACCAGTGCAAGAAATCTGTTCGGTGTTTTGCCCACCATCACCTTTTCTCTCTTTTCTGAGTGGTCTTTCCTTACATACGAGCCCATCAGCCTTCAAGACACCAAGCAGCAGAGTTCTAAACTGCCAGCAAAGATCACTGACAGCAGAAAATAGATTGGGGTTTTCAAAGGGATTTTTTCTGTTGGTGGGTGGATTTAAGCACTGAAGTAAAGAATCCTCTACAGTGGTGTTACTGACGTTAAGCTGAGAGTCTCACATTTGACATAACGGATACCATAGTCAAGATCTCAGAGACCTGAAGTGAGATGTGTACATATGCGGTCTTTGGAAAGACGAAGCTGTGGGAACAAAGCATTTCTCTGCAGAGCTCTGCAAGTACTGTTTTGACTGCCCCTTTACCATTAAAAGGTAATTGCTTTAAGCTAAAAGAGAGGGGAGATTGAGATGAGATCTTAGGCAGAAGCTCTTCCCTGTGAGGGTGCTGAGGCACTGGCACAGGGTGCCCAGAGAAGCTGTGGCTGCCCCATCCCTGGCAGTGTTCAAGGCCAGGTTGGACAGGGCTTGGAGCAACCTGGTCTCATGGAAGGTGTCCCTGCCCATGGCAGGGGGTTGGAGCTGGATGAGCTTTAAGGTCCCTTCCAACCCAAACCAGCCTGTGAATCTATGATTCCTTCACTGAAAAGGAAAGCTAAGAGTAAAGCAGGTTGGTATCAGGAAGCTGAAACTGGTTGGTTTATCCTTGTTGGTTAATGTCTGAAAGCCACAGGCCATGTTCTTTGTGTTTGCCTCTGAAAGAACCTCAAGTACCCATTGCTCCACATGAAAGCTACTGAGGGGACTCAACTCAACAACTGTGTAAGGAGGCAATGGTACCACAATCCTCCTCTTCACGATGAGATGCTGACTTGAGATCCTGAGGGAACTTCTGTTTGGTGACTGACCTTACGTGGCTCAGAAGGTGGAGGAAGCATCTTTTTACCTCTCAGTGAAGATCAATATAAGCCCCTGAAGGCCATCTGCCAAGACCATGGTCCTTTTCCCAGCAGGGACAGAAAAGAGCAATTCAAACCTACAGATCCTATCTAGACAGATGTTTCTTTCTGGTTTTAGGTAGAAAATGAATCTGCTGCCAATATTCTTGCCCTGGGAGGGGGAACAGGGGGAATGACATAGACATGACACGTGCAGGTGCACCTGTGTGCACACGGACACACATACACCTCTGAGCAACTGCTGCAGGGGAGGAGAAGCTGCAGAAACAAGAAGGAAGGAAAAACACCAGTGTGGGAGGAAGAGGTGCTGGTATAGGTGTGAGATGAGGGCAATGTCAGCTGCTGCTGCTGTGTGACGGAAGAGGAGAATGTGATGCTGGGAGGTGGTCAGACAACCCCAAAACCACAGTTGAAAAGAATGCACTGTCCTCCCCTCCCACAGCTCCCCTCCTGTGGCCACCCCACTTGAACAACAGCCATGTCAGGGGGGTTGGAACTACAGGATCTTAAGGTCCTTTCCAACCCTAACTATTCTATGATTCAATTCTACATGCCTCTCATGGTGCTCAGGAGCTGCATAGGGCCCTGGCAGGTGTGGGGTGCTGGACTGAGACAAGCCAGAGATGGGGCCCAAGGTGGGCATCTCTCTCCAGAGGCAGCAAAATAGGTGGTAGGCCTGGAGACCCCACAGGGCATGCAAACCCCATGAGGATTTGGGTAAGCACACACCCACCCACCCCTACTGTACTTGCATACAGGGGCTAGAACAGGCAGCGTGCCCTGAGGTGATGTGTGCCTGGCATCTCATTGCATGGTCCTGGGCTTCTTTTCTCCTGACACTATCTCACCAACAGACACTGCCTCCTAGCACTGCAAATAGGAGCACAGCATGGTGGGCAGAGGGCTATGCACAGGGCTGAGAAACGAGGTGGAGAAAGACAGCAAGAAAAAGCTTGCTGAGCATGCCACAAGGTCAGTATTTCTGAGAGTGACTTGTGTTTTAAACCCTGGACCTCTTTGGGGCTGGGGATGCAGACAGAGAACGTAGCACTGGGGTGCAGAGCAGAGCAGCTGAAAACACAAACTGCATGATCTTGCTTAGTAAATCTGAAACCAAAAGGAAATAACAAAGAGTGCACCGAACCTCAAAAACACCCAACTTTGCTTTAGAAATCGAAGGTACATTTTATCATAAAGGTGGATGCTTTTTATCTGCTGTAAGTGATATTTAAGCCCCACTTTTCACCTTTTTTTCTAACCAAGAAATTAGATTATTGTGATGATTTATTGTGATGATTAGAACTGTGAAGACATTCAAGGATGTCTGTTTTTTAATGAGAGACAGATGACATAAAAGCTGAGACCTCCACATTTAACTCACAAGGTCTGGTCACACTTCTACTGCCTATTCCCTAGAGGTGTCATCCCCCTTCATCTCCTGAGGGCCCCACGGAACAGGGCTTCCGTAGTGGGCATTTTGTCAAGTAAGCTCTACAGTCTGCCCGTGCTTTTAGTATCACAGGATCCTAAAACCAGGATCCTCTGAGTAAATACTGAGACTTGCCTTGCACTTCTAGGCTCACTAGGCAACTGAAAGAGGTGTAGAGGGTTCCCCAAGGGCCCCATTGTCAGGTCTGGCAGCACATGTGCAGCTTCTCATGGGGACCAGTGCCCAGTGCCCCCACACCATCCAGCTCTCCAGGTGTTTCCATCTCACTTACCTCTGTGCTGGTGAAGAGCCAAAGGTGCACGCAGGCTTGCTCGATAGCGACTGCCGTCACTGCAAAGCTGTTGATCCAGGCACCAAAACTGAAAGCAGCTGGAATCAAAACAGGACCAGGCAGGCTCTTTGCCTACCTGTTCATCCAAATCACAGACATCCTCTACCTCACCATATCTAGTTCTACATCTGTCATGCTGCAGATCATCTCTGCTCCTTTCTCACTTCCTGATGCACTTCTGGCTGCCCACAGAGAATGAACCTTGCTACCCAAAGCTGATTAAGATAAAACACTTCCTATGAAAACAAACGTAATCATGAAAGAAACAACACCCAGATGTCCTTGCAACTGAGGAGACATGCCCAGGGTCATGGTGCTGAACACTTGCTTGTCTTTGCTCAGCCACCCCCAGGACTGACAGGGGAAAACTAAAACATCCCCCTCCCCAGAATACTGCTAAACAGGAGGTAGAAGTGAAATAGAGGAAGTGAGAGCAAAGCTGATTTAACTGTCAGGCAGTGCAAAGGCTCAGGGTCCTGTCAGTCCCATGGGTTGGGTGCTTTGGGACTGAGCTCCTGCCAGCAGGAACCCAATAGAACTGAGCTCTGAAGAGGTGTCAGTGCCCGTGGCAGGCAAAGGCACGTTTGCCACAGACACAGTCCCTGTAGTTTAAAGCTACAGGAGGCACGGTGCTAAGAAAGTACAAGGGCTGATTTAGCAGGACATCGGTGACCTAGCACTGCCTGGCATAGTTGGAAGGGGATCTGCCCTTCTGCAGAGCCCATCTGGCACTCTGTTGCTTCAAGTCCCATTCCTGCATTGCCAGTCCCAGCACACCTGGAAGAAGACAGAGGTCATGGGGACACTCCTAATCCTAACAGTAGTCCTTGCCAGAAGCAGCTGCCTTGAGAAGGTGCTGTGCCTGTGGGATCCCGCTTTCCTTGCAGCCCTTGACCAACTCCTCCACCTGCTGGCTGCTGCTGCTGCTGTTTGACTTTCTCACTGCCTGCCTCCCTTGTTCTGCCAGCACTGCCTCCTCATTCAGGGAATGACACACCGAGGGATGTATGTTCCTGCTGCTCATAAATCCTTGGAGGGTACAATAGCACTCAAACCACTGATCTCACCCTGCTCCTTTTTAGTGCTTCTCTTTTTTTAACGGGACCCACCCTTTCTCATTTCCTAGTTGCTGGAGTCTTTGTTCTCACAGCTTTTTGTGTCTCTCCAGTCCCCATAGACGCTCTGGTGCTGATAAAGACTTGCAGATATACCGGGGAGGGGGGTAGGTGTCCTTCTCCCTTTGCAAAAGGAGTCTCTGATAGCCTCTATGGGAACTTTCTCCTCCCCTCACACACGTGCACACACCTGCCTGAGCCTGGCTTTTCCATGCGTGCCAGAAAAGGAGAACACGGTGGCACTTAGCCCATGAGCCCCAGAGCATCCCTCACCCAGGTTCACTCACCTCACCAGGTCTCAGTGCATCAGCCCACGAACTCCATCTCCCCCTGCCCAGGTGGGCTCACACCTCTGCTCCTCACTGTCCCTTGGAAGCTCGGCTTGTGGTGAAGAGCAGCGCAACCGCTGGCATTTCCTCACAGCTGAGTCTGTAGCAGGTAAGACCAGATTAATGGGGTGTGTGTCGGAGGCTACACCCTGGTGCTGCAGATCCCAACATGCCTGCTGCCCCGGAGAGCTGACTCCAGAAATCAGGAACAAGGACCCAACAGATCTAGGGATGCAGGTTGCTGTGAAGGCAAGGGGAGAGGTGGAAAGCGTGCTACAACAGAGGGGCTGCTCGGGTTTGAAAGGATGACTATAAACCCTAGTACTCTTCATACCTCTTTGTGCAGGGAAATGTGGAAGAGCACAGCAAAGGGGGGCCATGGTGGAAGAGCCATAGCAAGGCTGGAGCAGCCACGCTTCACTTTCTGAATGATTCAGACAGGAAAAGCAGAACCTTCTAGGCTGTGAGGAATTTCAGCCTCCAGGATGGTGGGGACGGCTGGCACTTCCCAGGCCTGCTAGGGAATGACAGGCTTTTTTCTCCCAGGACATTCTGGTCACACAACGCACATTTTCTGGGGCTCCCAGGAGCTCTTAGGAAAATCCTACCCACTGAGAAGAGGGGCAGCCCCCTCATCATGCCTGCTTAGGAAAAGGGCAAGGACTGAACCTCTTGCCATGGGGAAGAAAATGAGGGGGGTGGAGAGAGACCTGCAGAGAAAGAGTTAAAAGAGCCAGGGAGCAGCCAGGCTGTGTTTGTTTGCTGTGGCTGTGTGGGCTGCAGGGTAGAAAAGAAGAACCTCCAGCCTGGAGGAGGCAAATGAGGGGGGGTCCTCAAGGATGGTGGCTGGGGATGAGGGAGGCTGCAGACCTTCCCCTGCTTGCTCCCATGAGCTATCACTGCAGGGGAACTCTGTCTCTCCAAAGGGCTTGGTGACAGAGCAGTGATGAGCTGGTGGGTCTAACAACCAGCTTGGTGCTGCCAGGTTTTTCTTGTGTGGAAGGCTCTGCTGTTGGCTGGGTCTCTGGCTGCTTCCTGCTGATGGAGTGACTTGGCTGTGGATGAAGACAACCAGATCGACTGCTGACAGAGACCAGGGCTCTGACACTGAAGCTGTCCCCAGCCATGTGAGCTCCCTCTGACAGATGCCTGCCGCAGACCCCAAGTTCAGAGCCCTCCCATGATGCTGCCTGAGCTGTAGGTAGGGAACAGCACCAGCGTGGAGGCTCTTCAGGGCCAACCTGTCAGGTTTCTGTGGGATATCAGGTCTTCCATGTTGGCACTGCACACCAAAGCAGCCCACAGTCATTGCCCAGGGTAGGGGCTACCTGTGTGCTGCACTAGAGCTGCTGTGAGAGCGACTGTCCGGCAGAGGCAGTGGGAGGCCACAAGAGGGGATTCAGGTGCTCTTGCAGAGTGGATGAAGTTGGAGTTTCACCAGGGACAGGATGGAGATGGTGTGGCTGTACGTGGTGCTGATCCTGGTGCAGCACGTCCTTGCTGTGACCTGGCTGTAAGTATGCTTTGTACTTGTCTGGATTGGAAAGTCACCTGGGGAGGTGCTGTCTCCCAAGAAAACAGGCAGATCTGTGAGAAAGGGTGGAAGAAGGAACCGGGCAGCCCAAAGGCAGCCCATTAAAGAGGGGCATCTTTGGGATCATGAGGGGAAGGGACAGTGAAGCTGGAGAGGTGCAGACCAGGACGAGAAGCAGGAATGTCCAATTTGGTACAGACAAGAGGCAGCACATCCCCTTCCCTGCCCCATTTCTGCTCAAAATAAGGCTACAGAGGGCTAGTCTACAGAGGGCAGACACAGCTCCGGCTCTCTCTTATCGGCGACTGACTCTCCCATGCCCCACAGGTACCTGGCCAAGCAGACTTCCCTGTGGGTGCTCCTCCGGGACCCCAGGGCCTGCGAGAGCCTGGCAGGGCTGGTAGAAGAGCAGGTCCGCCTTTGCCAGAGGGAGGTGGAAGCCATGGATGCGGTGAGGCGAGGCGCAGAGCTGGCCATCGAGGAGTGCCAGCACCAGTTCCACTCCCGGCGGTGGAACTGCTCCACGCTGCAGGGCCTGCAGGTCTTCAGCAAGGTGGCCATCCAAGGTCAGTGATGGGGAGGCGGTGCAGGGGGTCCCTTCAGTATGTCCATGGGATCTCCTTGACACACTGGCTCTTTTCGTGGGCTAGTGTGGCCAGAGTGGCCAGTGCCCTCCTCCATGTACTACCATAGCTGTCAACACGCAGCAAACGGAACCAAATGCATGTGTTATTACAAATATTAGTATTCTGGCTAAACTTTTCCTCATTTGTCCCGATTTGGCCTTTTTTGGTCCCATGTGGATTATTGTGGGTACTAGCTGGTGCAAACTGGTGCAGACTGACCAACCCAGCCCTTTGGAGTAGCAGCTCAAATCAAACCTTTTGCTCTGCAGCTGCAGTCCATTTTTATTGCAGGCCAAAAGAAAAGGATCTGCCTATGCCCCCAAACAGCACTGAATAGATTTTGCATGTGTTTGGGTGGGAAGAGCCATGCACAGAGCTATGAGCAAGAGTCTCTTTGGCTCCTAGACACAAGGCAGCAGGGTCCTCCCTGACAAACCCCTCTGTGTGGGAGGCTCAGACTCTGGCATCCCCCACCATGGCTTCCCTTTCACTTCTCCCGGTGGCTGATGAGTTGTCTCCCACAATGGGACACCTGGCCCAGGAACTGAGGGTGTCAAAGGGTCCCGAAGGACCCCACAGAGCCGTCTCCCTTAGTGGTCCAAAGCTTTAGAAAGAGCATCACCAGGAGAGCATCCTTACAGTGATTTCTCCTGAGCAGTCTCCATCAGAATACATCTTCCCTGCATGCAATCGCAACCTCTTTTCCCTTGTGCCGTGTCCCATCAGTGCCTTTCCCCCCGCAGACTGGTGCCATGTCTCTCCCCACTGCAGGCACACGGGAGTCTGCTCTCATCCACGCCATGGCCGCGGCCGGCGTTGCCTTTGCTGTCACTCGTGCCTGCAGCCGCGGGGGGCTGGAGAGGTGCGGATGCGACCCCAAGGTCCGAGGAGTCAGCCCCGAAGGTGAAGGAGGAGGGGGTGGCAGAGGAGAAGGTCCATGTAGGAAACCCTCACTGGGGGGGGGGGGTCACCTCCCATCTCCGCAGCCCTCAGCCCTTTAGTTGCTCCTCCCAGGGCTGCTGCAGCTTTATCTCACGGCTGCTTTCCCTTTGCAGGTTCCCAGCGGTCAGGCTGCTCTGATAACCTGTCTTACGGGGTTACTTCCTCTCAAGCCTTTGTAGACAACCCTGAGAGGAGCCGCGGTGCCTCCTCCAGCCGAACGCTCATGAACCTGCACACCAATGAGGCTGGGAGGAAGGTAAGGGCAGGAACAAGGGCTGGGGAGCGAGCCTGGCTTCAGCGGCTTCTCCCTGGCTCGGTGGAGCTCGGTCCCGCCCGCTTACCCTGAGGAGCCGCCATGGGTCCCCAGAGCAGGTCTGTGTCCTGCTGCCTTTTCCCAGCCCAGCACTGCGCTGCTCACACCGAGCTGGCTCCCCTCCTGTGTGTGTGGGTCCCAGCCTCCCTAACCCACCTCTGTGCAGGGTCTCCTTTTCCTCACAGGCTTCAGCCGTGATTTACCTTTCTCTGCCTTTTTTGCAAAGGAAATGGGTTTCTCCATCCTGCTCTGAAGGGCTTCCCTGTTCCTTCAGTACCTCCTGAATAAAACCACCATCTTCTGCAGGGGACACTTAGATCTGGTCCTCTGAATGTCCTCTGGCTCTGGGCAGATCTGTTCCCATCCCCACAGCCCCACGGGTCACAGCACGTCCCCATCTGTTCCTCTGCATCAAGGATTTCTTTTACATACCCATCCGGTTTCCATGGAAGGGAGTCCCTTCTCTTTCAAAATGGCCTGGCTTAAAGAAACTTTTTTACTCCCTTGCTTTCCCTTGCCTTCCCCTGGTCCCTTCCCTTCCCACCCCATGGAGGTGTGTGGGTACAGTGGCTGCTGCACCTGCAGCCATAGGAACTATGGGTCAGGGTGTCCCAGGTCTGACTGGCAGCTGCCTCCTGCTCCCCAGGCTCTCCTGGCCCACATGAAGGTACAGTGCAAGTGCCATGGCGTGTGCGAGGTGCACACGTGCTGGAAGGTGATGCCTCCCTTCCGCAAGGTGGGCAACATCCTCAAGGAGAAGTTTGAGGGCGCGACAGAGGTTTACCCCAAACGGGTCGGTTCCCACAAGCTCCTGGTGCCCAACAGCTCTCGCTTCAAGCCCTACACAGCTCACGACTTGATCTACCTGTTGGCCAGCCCAGACTTCTGCTACCGGGGCCCCCTGCGCGGGGTCTTTGGCACCTAGGGTCACCAATGCAACCGGACCTCAGCAGCCATGGATGACCCCAGCAGCCATGAGGGACAGCCTGGGGAGGGACATGGGGAGCAGGGGAAGGCGTGGGGAGACACACAGCCTGGGGGGGAGCGGAGGAGGTGTGGGGTTCTGCTGTCCTGGCAGAGAGGAGCCCCTGGCTCCAGGGGTGCCACCCCTGTGCTCCCTGCATGGCACCCCCTTGCCAGCCTTGTTGGGGTTTCTGTTGTTTGAATTGTTTTTCCAGAGGGAGGGTGGGAGAACACAGGCCCGATAAACCCTTCAACTTGAGAAATAAACCGTCTGCAATGGAAAGCCAAAGGTGTATGTCAGCTCCTTCCTGGTGCTGCATTTGGGACTGGCTCTGCTGCTTCCCATGGGCTGGGAGGAGAAAAGGCCATGGTGGAGTCCTCATGCTCAGGGGGATACATGGACTACAGCAAGTGAAAAACACCATGGTGCAGAGCAGGGGGGCGTAGGGGCCCACCTCGGACATCAGAGGGGTCACTGAGTGGTGTAATAGAGCAGTGGCATCAGAGAGAAGGGAGTGAGTTAGGTTTATGGGAACAACAGGCTCTTTATACATTGTTGGGAGATCTCCTAACTGGTATAGACCTACAGGGAGGGAGGGAGGCAAGAGGTGGTTGGGATGTCAGACAAGGATGCTTGGACCAGAGACTCTAAATCCAGGTTCCCAGGGCTGATGCCTTCTCCAATGCTCAGCTGCTCCTTTGGCTGGAGAAAAATGTTTCCAGGGGTTCCAGGCAGGTGCCACAGTGACATGCTGTTGAGTGAGGCTCCCCTCATGGTCTGCTGCTGCCCCTGGTGCGGAGCAGATGCTTGGAGGGGGAGATCTGGCCATGATGAGCTGCCATAACCAGCAAAGGGGTCTGGGAAGAGCTGTCCAAGCCTATCCAGGGTACTACGTCCCACCACAGCCCCAAAGACCCTGATGGAGCCCTGTGCTCCCTGCATATGTCACTGCTACTATGCATCACCCCCTGGAGAGGTCGAGGAACCTCTGGTGCCACAGCTCCACTTCCTCCTCTCCTTCCTTCTCACTCAGCACCCGGTATGTCTTGTTCCTGTGGCAGCTGCGGCGAAACACCTGCAAGGACAGCCTGAGCTCATGGGACTGATACCACTGCCCATCCCTCCCCCAGGAAAGGAGGATCTCCGTGATGGATGGCATATGGAGGCTGGGATGATGAGGGCACGAGGGGGAAGAGGGGAGAACCAGCAGGGAAGAAGGATGAGGGGCTGCTATCTAAATGTGTGTTTAGCTGAGATATGGGCTAGTGCTCTGTGCTGCTCTTGTGTGTTTGGGTTTTGTTACCACCTAGGAAGCACCCAGTAGATGAGGGAGACATTCCCCTGCAGGGATAGACAGGGATACCCAGACAGATGGGGGCCTCCCCACAGCTCTTCTGTCTCTCAACATTAGTGTCTGTCTCTGATGCCATCTCTTACAGCATCTGTGCAAATCCCATGGCCTCAATTACACGCCAGCTGCGCTTGGGTCGCTATTTGCCACCCCCTCCAAACACACACAATTCTGTCCTGCTGGAGGGAAAAGCAGTGTGCCTGTGAGTCCTGCAGGGACTTGGGCTGGCTGTGGAGGGACCAGTGATGGAGAAGGCTGTGTAAAGGGAAGTGCAGGCTGCTTCTTACCCTCTGGTTTTTGAGGCTCTGCTGGAGACACTGGTGGCTTTTGAACCCGCAGTAGCTAGGGTGCTGAATTCCATCTGAGTCACAGATCTGGGGGGAGACGTGAATGAATGCCAGAGGAAGAAGAGGAGAAAGAGGGATGGGAGTATCCACTGGGCACCCACCTGGTTTGGGACACCTCCATCTTTGAACGCACTGTACTCTGCCTTCAGCCAGAGGGCCACACGAGCGTCCTCACAGCCATAAGTGGCCATCCGGCTGCACCAGTACTCTGCCCTCAGCCCTCTGAAAACCTCTATGCCATGGTAGTCTGAGGTCTCCGGGAAGCTGGTCTGCAAAAATGGGATAAAGAGAGCTATGCTTCTTCCTCCTCTCCCCATCACCCAACCTAGGCTCCTCCTCAGAGGCTGGCAGGACATGCAGCATGCTCAGTACCTTGTTGCTTGCAGCCTGGTGCTGGGCTGAGATCTGAGGGTTGATGTAAGGGGAGAAGCTGCCCGTCTCACAGTGAACACGGTTCAGGGTATGGATGTTTTGACATTGCTCCCTCTTCAGTGAGCAGAAAGCGCAATCAGGACACAGGTCCATGTGATGCCGCCCGAGGCTGTCACACACCTAGGGTGGATGCAGTCAGGAGGTCAGTGGGGAAAAGGGAGACTGAGGAGCTCCCATATCCCTGGCTTGGAGCTTGCCTCCCTGGTCACCAGGTCAGCTTCTCCCAGGAAGTGGCACCTGAAAGGACAGTGCTGATGAGCTCTGGCTGCCCAAGGACTGTGTTCAGCGCTGCAGGGAGCCCTGCACCCAGAGAGAGTCAAGGTGGACATCAACATCTTTACCGAATCTCCGAACCCAAAGACGCTTTCTTCCATCTCCTTCCAAGCCTGAGCGACCACTGACGAGAGACAGTTTCCCTCCAGCATTGCATAGCACAGGATCATCACTGCCTCATCCGTCTTCAGGGCTAAAAGGCTGACAGAGGAAAGGACAGAGGAAGTCAAATCTCATCTCTTGTCACGAGCTGAAGAGAGACCTTTAGTTAAAAACTGAAGGAGGAAAAACAACCCCAAGGCAGAGCAAAATAAACGTTCCCAAAGAAACCTGGAACTCTTGGCCAAGCTGCGCAGAGAAATGCGGGTATCTGCAGAATATGTGCACATGGAATGGGCTGCCCAAGGAAGTTGTGAAGGCTCCGTCCCCGGCGGTGTTCAAAGCCAGGTTGGACAGAGTCTTGGGTGATACAATTTAGTGTGAAGTGTCCCTGCCCATGGCAGGGGGTTGCAACTGGATGATCTTAGGGTCCTTTCCAACCCAAACCATTCCGTGAATCTATGATTCTATGGTTCAGGAGTATGTGAGAAGGACTGGACAAGGAGCACAGCTTAAGAAACTTTCCCATAAGGTCCTTTTTTGTCCATCTGGGTGTACACCAAGGAGGTGTTAGAGGTCTGCTGAGTGTTGACCATGGAGCAGCTTCATTTGGGTCTGGAGTATGTAACTTATTAAGTCTCCCTCCTGCTTGAACCAATATATTTGTCAGAATGGGGAAAAAACTGGTGACAGTGAATTAACTGTTCATCCAAACCAACATGGGAAACTAAAAGCAGAAGATTTAATGCCAGCGGGATAAAGACATTTTGCATTTCTTAGGAACAGTAGAAATTGTAGACATGGTAAAATGGTGCCAGTTATCAGTAATGAAGCGTAAGAGGTAAAAATGCTCATTTGATATTTGTCTTCTGTGTCTGGAAACAAAACCAGTGATAAATAAAGCAACCGGTTTAGTTCCTGATCTTTCAGAAAGTAAGAACAGCAATTGCTTATGTTAAAATGCTCTTAAAATCCATACATGGGCTAACCTGTATGGAGAAGTTTTCCTGAGAGTAGCTTAAACTTTCTGGAGACCTTCAGGTTAGCATTAGATTTCCCAAGGCCTGGAAAACTTTCACCTAGGGTGAGAAGCTAAAGAAGCTGTACTTAGCTGAGCACAGACGCTAGTGGGTGGCCATTCAGGCAGTCAGTCAGTATGGGGATCATCTGGAAAGTTCTTTTCATTAGCAGATGGAACAGCAATGACTTTCAGTGACTAGAATTCGGGATGAGATTCATTCAAACCAGAAATTAGCTGCATTTTCCTGTCACAAAGGGTATCTACCATGGGAGCAACTGATGGGGTGGTTTCTCCACAGCTTGGAGACTTCAAAAAGGTATCACAAATTTCTCTTAGTAGAAGGCCACATGATGCTGTTTTTTCTTCAGGGCTCATCAGGCAGGGCTCTCCATCCTGTACGGAGCAGGAAGGCCAGGGTGAATGATCAGAGTAATAGCCAGGCCTGAAGGCTAAAAGAGATCAGCCTCCCCGCTGTTAAGCTCTTGCAGTTATGTGGTGTTTGAAGAAATGGAGATGTAAGGAATGACTAGAATATGTGAGATATGTGAGAGTCATACACTGCATGTACAGGAACATAGAGATGCTTGGCATTTGCATTGAGTTTGGGTGTGCACTCCCATAGGAGAACATGAGTGAGCATTAGGGTTACTAAGAAGTTTTGTGAACCTCCTTAGTGTGCACCTCCTTTTGTGCATACCCTGTCATACACCGTGGATGAAGGAGCTTACAGCATGTGCTCTGTACTTGCAGTGAGTCAGAAACAAGTGATGCTGTACCCAAACACTAACCAGCAGCAAATGAGCCTGTCAGAATCTCTGAAGGCATCTCTCTCTACTAAAAGAGAACCTTGAAAGTCTTAGTCATGGAAAATATGAATATTAGTTTTTTCTTTTAAAAAGACATTACAGTCAAGCTTGTTTTATCACAGTGCAGCAGATGTTGCTCTGAGCCTGCATCCAGGCAAGCAGACGTTACTTCAGCACGCCATCCTGTACTGTACTGTGGACAGCCTGCAAATGGTATTCTGTAGATACAGACATGTGAGCAAATTAGTGTGCTGCCAGCCCACAGCATGTCAACCACATCCACTGGAAAGCTGAGGACAGCTGAATACCTGGAAATCTACATCTCCCAAGCCTGTGCATCTCTTACTGCAATGCGCCACAGTGGGACCAAACTGGTCAGAGGTTTGTGAAAGAAAGGTCTGAGTTCAGAGAGGACAATAGAATGCAAACTGAGGAGAGCAGTGACATGCAATAATTCCTCCAGGAAAAGTTGAAAAGAATTAAAATGTGCCAGTAAAACACAGAAACAAACCCCCCATATCCTGTATCCTTCCACAGCCTATAAGATCCTTTATGTTCATTCCTCCATTCCATGGCTCCACATGATACTTTTAATCTAGGGGGTATTTTTGTTTCCTCTGTAAACATTCAGACCATTTAGGATACCAAGAAGAACAGGAAGTTTTAAATTTAGACCAAAAAGTCTGTGCTGATCCCACACTAAATCCTGTCTAAGCTTGTTCAGTTCAACCCTCTCAGCATTTTGCTGTGACTGGGAGCTGAATATCGCTGAGAGAAGAACCAGTGACAGCCTCCAAGGCACACCTAGCATTCCTCTTCTGTGAAGGATTGCTCTTTGTGTGTGGATTACCTGACACTGACAGTTTCTCTCT